CGATCTGCCGGGCAGTGGTTGAACAATTAGTCGTTCGGCCACGAGCGGCTGAACAGCAGTGTGGTTGGCTCTCACTTAGACGGGATCAGTGTAATCTACCACACGGCAGCAAGAAGATTCGGGAGGCCGTTTTATTGAAATCAGTATTAGCGGTTGAGGGAACCAGCTGATTTTACCCACCAGTTCCTCCTGAATTGTTTTTACATGATGAGCGTTGCACTTAACCGAACTTTCGAATACTACCCCACGCTCTATCAGTTTGGCTTATCTTCCGTTACAACAAGCTAAGGTGGATCCGCTGAAAATCATACAGTTCGATTTCATTCGTGTTTTTCACTTCGCACCACTGTTAATCATGGGTCGGCCAATTTCTTCTGCGAGTCGCCTATCTGAACACTTACGTGATCTGCGCCGTAAATTGTAACCGATTGTTCTGAAATGTGTCGGGACACTGTTTGTTTTGTCTGCGCTCGTCGTGTTCCAGCACTTCCGTGGATTTCATACGACAGTGCGTTTACATATCCGCCTAATCCCGCATTATATTTTGGTTTCTTCTGATGGAGAAAGCGAGTTGTAACCCCTTTGTGTCATCAGTGCAGTTGTCATGGACCTCCTAACATGCTTTTTTTCTCAGGTTTGTTGCAATATCGAAGGAATGGAACAGTGCCTGGTAAGTCCTACTGGTCTTTCCTATGCATCCGTATTCTCTTTGGTTTTTGCGAGAATTTCCCTTTGGTCAGGTTCATCCAGAATAATTATGTTATTCTGGGAGCACTGTTCAACTGAGAGCTTTCAACCCTCAGTATGCCGATCTCAAGTTGTTTGCTTTATCACACGGACGCGGGGATCGCCCAGCTCTGCAAGGTTTGGGGACAGATTAGCTTTGAAGTGGCGGCAAAATAACTCAAAGCTCGAAATACTACTTTTTAGTTTTATTATGACCCTACGCGAATCATTATTTCATTTGATAACCTTTCTATAGAGTCCTTTCGTGGGTGATTGCTCACTTTCAGTTCGTTAAAGATTCCCTATATATTTATGATAACACGGGAGGTCTCAGTTGGCCAATACAATCATAAAACGGAGTTCTGTTGGACAACGGAGATTCAATGCAGTATTCATCTGTTTTCACTGCCTGGGAGATGCGTGGGTGGGAGATTGGAAATTTTCCGAGGTTAGCTGAACGTAGTACACTACGCAACCTTATGAGTAGTGTGTTGCGTCTAGACAATGAGTTGCGATGTCTCAAATATCGTACCAACTGCAACTTGAGACGGCCTGGTGCAGCACATTCAGTCGAAGAAAACCATCCTTAATGAGAGGTATAACCGGATTTCGTTGAGTCCCGTCGCAAAACCAGGTGAAAGTATTCTGCAAGTTTTTAGTTTTATCTAGTCTGGGTCTAGGCCAGGAACGTCTAAGTCGAAATCTGTCCAGATTATGATCAAGTATAACGTGAGGTTGACGGAAAATCGGAGACTGCGCCCACCTGATGGACCCCAACAAAGCTACAACCGGTCTTGGGCTCTGGAAGAGTTGTGGTTGTTGGGCAGTGTAGCGTCGGTGTCAACACTGACGTTTCTGTCTGTGATGGTAACGGTTGACTGCTCTGTGATTCGAAGATTTTGTCCATTTCTGTTTGGAGCTAAGATTTTTTGCCCCCGATATTTGTAGGACCTGCAGTAAGTTTTGAAAAATTGCGGTCTACCGAATGATTTCAATGCCAACACATTCAACAGGTGACCTTGCTCGCCATGGGGTTTTTTACCACAAGAGATTTTCGAACCAACTAAACAAACACCCTGCTCGTAGTTTTTGACCGAGCTTTTTCTATATCTTCCGTTGATTTCATTTTCTTCATTCAGGTTGCAGTGTAACGTTCTTCCATAATGATATCAACCCTGTTTTTGTCCAGTGATCGATTAGTTTCTTCATTGCCAACCTCTGATTTCAGACCGCCCTAACCCATTTACCAGACTATAACGACCGATTGCAGTTGGTTGCGCAACACAAAAACTCGTTGGAAAGCCTAGTCGCTCCGCAACTCATTCGGGCTCTGGGAGAGACAGTCCCCAGCCAACCAGATGACGCTAGTAGTACTCGTTGGCCTTCGGGCGCCTCATTTGAAGCAAAGCATTTGGTCAGTTTGTTGTACAGAATCGGACGTGAGGGTGCTGCGAGCAATTACTACACGAATTGGATAAAAGTGAGTGTGTATCGGAATCTCCTTTCTCGGGTATTCTCGTTTTTCACAATCTTTCAGGACAACGCTAAGGAAACGGAGAATGTTCTTGTCACGGTTCTGTTTTCCCTGTAGTAGGACATAGAACCAAGTACGATCTTCAAGCAAACGCAATGATGTGCTGATTTAAGATAAATCGTTCAGCTGTAGTACCCTTTCGGTACCTAACTGCCATGCCACCCGGAGGAAGCACGAGGGCTGGGATACTGCCAGGTCCCCCAAGCCTAGACAGGGGAAGTCGAGAGACAGAGGTCAGGTTCGAACCACGGACCTTTCGGTTAGTAAATTCGCGCTCTAACCACTCGGGCCATCTCGCTGATTTATAGAGAAACAATTTGGTACACCGCCAGGATGTTGTACAGCGTTCATCACAATGTGAAGCTCATGCCATCATCGAATCACTGTGTCAAGAAAACAGCGGGATCTGAGGGATTGCAACCAGTATTTACTTGAACGTCGTGACACTCATTTCGGAAAGGCATCTCTGAAAAAATCAGCGACAAAGGATTATGTTGGTTAATCGGAGTTCCTGAGATCTTTTTACTCCTTTCCCGTGTTTTTCTCTTCAGGTTGGCTACATAGCTCTGGCTTGCGTTCCGTGGCGGTCTTGATGTGCAGTTGGTCTCCCTGAATATCCCACAGGTGCAACAGTCATTTGGTACTCGTCCTCTTTTCCTACCCACAGTCCAGTGCGACAACATGAAGTAGTGGCCGTGTTCAGTTAGAATAGGCGAGGTCATTCTTATTATGGTGGACAGGCTAGTCAGAACAACTTCTATGGACTCTCAACTAAATGGAGTCGACCTCTACATGCTCTGGGCTAGGAGAGGGCTAACCATGTATATGATGCTCTATATTGGCTTCTTTCATCGTCCTTGTCGGGCATCTATCTTACTGTTGTCCACTTTGGAGGGTCCTATTGGATGTGGTGTCTACAAGGATGGATAGCCGCAGTTTCTCATATCGCAAAGACATCATGCTGTCTCACGTTTCCATTGTCGTTTGCTTAACCACAGTTCACTTTCATCTCCCTGTTGACCACAGTCTTGCGTCCTGTCTACCTGGGAGCAATGTTGTTCGTCCAACCCAAGTTTAGATCCGACTTCGGACACTTACCGATTCTTCACACTATTCACCAATCGATCCACTTCACCAAAAGACCCTTTCTGTGCTCAGCTGGACGTGGATTCGTCAACTCCAGCTCGAGAACAAATCATCTTTACAGTATTCTACGCTCAGCTGCTGCACCTCATCAACAACCAAGTAAGCTATTGAAATGGGTACATTTGACCTGAGTTAGCGGACTATATGGTTACCTTGTGTATTTCGAGGTTTTAGCTTATAGTTGTAACTTGGTTTTCCAGGTTTTAGTTATCTCCCTTATTGATACACCTTCTCGTCGTTAAATCCGTTCTTTCTTACAGCTTGCTACACACTTGTTCCCCGACTTACAGTCGGTGAAGGTTACAGGAGCTTTCGCCGAGGCGCTCAAAGATCTCACTGAAAAGAGGCGGATATTAATCATGGGTTCTGCTCCTCAATCTAAACCTCCTCAAGTAGACTACGTCGCCAATCTGCTAATGGTGAGTTTTTTTTCACGCGTTACCTGTTGTCCTTTGTAAAGATCAAAGAGAATACGTGGTTACAAAATTTAACATGTTCAGCATGTTTTTATTTCCAGGCTGCTCTCTGCCGGGTCCATACTAGGCTGTGGGGACGTCTGAAACGTGCCATACTCGTGCTACTTCCAGTTTATTAGTAGTGTAGATGTTTTGTCCCGACGCGGTGTTCGGAAACCACCCGTTCATATTGTGTTTGCGTTCCCTTTGTAGATCACGCTCAATTGTTGCACCCAGTTTGGAAGAGTTGTTGAATCCCAAGTCCCTGGTGAGTCAAGTTATCTCAGGTCACTTCGGTTATCACCAGGCTCTCATACTCCGCCCATAAAAGAACTTTTACGTCCTGTTTTACAACAGGTATTTTTGCCGAGACTCCCTCCATACCAGACGCTGAACGAAAGGGGGTTCATGAGATGACGCTTCAGCTGTGTCGAACTTTGTTGGATCCTTTCGGAAATTTCGGTGAACTGTTTGGAAAGGAGACAAAGAGCTTGTTTGAAGCAGAGTTGTCAAAAGTCAATCTGGTATGTGGTCTCTTTTCGTCAATTATGCCAAGATGCACCACACACACACGGTTGGAACCTAATCGTCCACCATTCCTCCTCTCTGCTTTTTGTAGACTGATGCACGTGCGACCCCGGAGTTTGTTGAGCGCCTGAGCCAAACAATGTCCGCGGTGATTCAACTGATCAACACAACCATACGCAGATGTTTCGATATCTCGATGGGTATTGGCATCCCATATTTACTCAGTATTATTCAAGTAAGCATACGGTTCGTTGTGGATTGGCCTCATGTGCGCACTCCGCTATCCTATAAAAATGCGGTTCTCGGGGGATAATTGTCATTCACATGGTTCCAGTGTGGCGTTTGGTGTGTGTGCGTGTGTGTGTGTGTGTGAATTTGTGACTATCTAATGGCCCAGTGTCAGACTAATGGGTGGTGAAATTCCGTTACCCCTGACGTCTAAGTCTCAAACTGTGACCTCCAGAAGTTTCTGATACTTTCTTACATAGATATCCAGGTTCCCCGGAAATCCACGAAGAAAGTACAATTAGAGGGGTGGGGGGCAACAATTAGAGCATCATAGAAACTAGTCTTGGCAGATTCAGCGCTACCGTCCGTTATCGCGTATGCAGACACAACAAACAGGGGGCAATGGACTCGTCCGTCTTGAAGTTCTTTCACAGACTTTGCCAAACGAACCGTGCACAGGCAACTATCAACAGGTACCTAATCAATTAGAGACGCCTCTCCTCGATGGCCCATCACGATGCACACGGCAGCGTCCTCAGGATCACCAGAGCTGCGCATCTGGAACCTGGATGAGTGCGAGTCAGTTCAATTACTGTACTTGCTTCCTGTTTCTGACACAGCATGTATCAATGCAGAGAGAGAATCCAATGTACGAGAAAGACCTGCTTGTTGTCCTGTTTGATTCAGTGTGCGAACATTGAAAACAGCTCGGTTTGTCGGCTTTCGGAGCTTGAAAACAGACTTCCAAGTGTTTATGGCCGTTACTGAAGTCGGATGCACAGAACCTACAGCTGAGTGTGATGCTCGGGTAACAAAGTGGTTAGTCCTGGTGGTGGGACCTGCATTGCGTTGGGGCAGAATAGAAAAGGGCATGTTTCTGTTTACTCGACTTGTTGTATACCACAAGAAGGGTGGTCCTTTTGATGACATCACGTGACGGCCAATGTGATATGACATTTCTACTTACGCGGCCCATAACTTTATACAAACTGAGGTACTGTCACTGTCACATCGGTATGTTTCAGTGGACCAAACCGCTACTCTGCGATAAGGTCCACCTTTTTGCAGTTAGCTTCGTCTTAGCTGCTATGACCTATGGGATGCAAATGGGTTGGGTTACCTCTAATTTTCGTACCCTTATTGTGCTCCTCAGTCCTCATTAGTGCCCGCTTTTCGTTGTTCTGATGTTGGGTCCTGGTTTACAAACGATTTGAAGCCAGCCAATAGAGAAGGGATTGTTAGCAGCTGATGGTCGAAGCATTCACTGATCTTGATCGTTTAGTTGCAGTGGTCACCCATGGCTAACAAAACGGATGTATAAACAACCAAAGAATGCCTACCGATAGTTTGACGATGTCATCCCACTTAGTGACAAAGAGTTTGTAACAAGTGGAGGAAAATGTCGGTAGCTCAGGTAGCGTAGATGGTCGTTGGCTTGCTCGTTGAGCTGGGCAATTTGATTGCAAACGTTTCATCACCATCCGAGGTCCCATCATCAGTGCGTTATTGGGGAGCGTAGTGGTGCGTAGCGGTTGGCTGTGCGTTGAGTGGTCTTACGTGTGTGTTAATATACGTGCTGGTAGCCGGAGATGACCTTTGACCGCGCTTAGTTGTTCGGTCGGGCGGTTCCATTGGTTGCTCTGTTATCCCGTGTCCTCATTCGCCGATGCCCACGTGATCTTTGAGCTTGGCATTTCTCGCCGTCGTAGTCTGGTCGATGTTGGAGTGACCTTAATCCTTCCGAGTTTCAACTTGTGACCTTTATTGATTCGACTCCGAATAGTTCCTTGTTTGTTTGTTTGTTGGTGAGTGTTTCGGTTGAGATGTTGGTCTTTTGCACGTAGAGGTGCGTAAATTGGATCCAGTTCGATGCACCGGTTGATCGAATATGCCATGGAGTACCATGCTTCCGGAAGTTCTCTTCCGTGTCTCGTGTCTCCGTATGCCAAAATTTTTGCGTTTCTCAGATTGAATTTGTAGCCTTCTTGGTCCTCGTTTATAGACATCAAGGACGGGAGGTCATGTTTCCTGACAGCCGCGTTGTGTTCCTTTATTCGTGTACATAATTTTCTCCCAGTTTGTCCAACGTAGAATTTGTTGCAGTTGTTGTAACAAAGTTGTCAAGTTCATTGGACAACTAAAACCTCAGTTCGGTAGCTGCCTCTAACCCAGTCCCGTCTGCGTGATTTACAAGACTGGTGGGTTACGGTACAAGAACCCAGAACAGCCCTGACTGGACTGTAATTTTCCATGAGTTTTCGGGAACCTAGACCCGGCTAACTCGTTTTTTCTGTGTTAATTTGTCGATAGACGTCACCTCTGACTGAAGCGATTTTCTTGACACAAAATCATACGCACTTCGAACTGAATTTCGCTCCGACTCTTCTTACTTTTTGTGTCTAATCACCGTTATTCACAGAAACACTGGTTAACATCTTTAAAATTCTCCACTCTGTTATAACACTTTTGTTATAACATGGGCATTCGGTCGTCAGTAAGTATACAATTCGTTTAACTAGAAGTTTCTTTTCCAAACGTCATCTTGTTTCTGTCCCAATACAGAGCTTCTTCGATAGCTTCCTTGCGAAGTGGACGATTGCAACTGAGCGCTCCGCAGAGCCATTTATCGCAGCCGATGCGAAGTCCGGTTTCAGTCAGAATTCCGGGCTCACGTGTGCTCTACATCTTGCGAGTCTTACAGGTGGGTCTAGATTCCACCACCCATCATTGTATCACACTTGTTCACTTGCTAATTGTCAACGCATCTGAAAGAAAGCAGGTTTAGGTAGTCTTCTGACGCCTTCCCTTGTGTTCCTTTGTGATCAGGTGAATTGAGCCTTCAGTCTCATTCATTTGTGGAGGTGGTACTTACCAAATCAGCTGACTTGTTTGCACGAATTCTGTCCGACACGGAGAGGTAGGTTAATCGCTTCCAAGTGAGTTATAATTATCCTGTCTCTTGTTGTGGCGAGGACGGGTGCAGCGTTCTCATGACGTTCTATGTTGTTTTTTGTTTGGTCTTAAGGACTGAATATTGCCAAAGTTTGTAGATTTACGCACCGATGAGTTTTGCCATTTTTTTTCGCTCCTACCAGCTCATCTTTCCTCAGTGCTGGTGAATTCCCACGTGAATCATTGTGGCAAAGCACACAGTCGTTCACGTCTGCGGACTGGATTCTTCTGCGTCTGCTGGTTGAGTGTCACCCCACTGCCTACCAGAACACAGTACGTTTACTCGCACATCCCTCTACTACCCCCACCACCACCACTACCGTCACCAAACCAGTTGATCCGGTACAAGATGGGACTGGGGGCGTGGGGATGCAGGCAACTCTTTCCGGTCTCCATCGGTCTAATGTTACTGCCTGCCGCGCTGCTGTTTCTCTTGTTCGGCGAGTTGCTCTTGCCCCGATAAGCCAAGTGCTGAACACCGTTCCCTCTATGCCAGTTTGGTCGTTTATGCCTGGGAGTGGTGAGGCAAAGTTTCCCGACCTTGCCTATCTTCCACAAGATTATATCACTCAGGTAATTTTTCGGTAAACTGCGAAAGTGAACTGTACCATACACACACCCTGTGAATTTGGGTTCGCCGAACCCCTGATCAATGTTTCATAGCATATTTCATGGAAAAGTTCATTAGTCTTATCTAGACATAGTTGCAGGATGCACACTATGAGGCGAGCGGTTCCCATCTCTTTCGGTTATGACAATAGACCAAACCAAGTTGAATCTAGACGCTCTCGAGGGTTTTCCCCAAGGTATTCTTCTGTGGACAAATTCTGTGGTCCGTTGTTGATGACTTTTTGAGTGAGTTTTTGTTCTTCAGGATGACTTTCCTCCGTGCCGATATGGTATGGCTTAACGTTTTTATAAAATAAGTATAGGTAATTTCATACAATGTTCAGCCAAAGGTCTAATCATCCAGGTACGATCAATGTGGCAATTTAGAAGCGCCAGAATGATTCTCGTTTTTTGTCTGGCCTACTGTTCTTGCCAACAGCTTCGTGCTGAATGGATATGGGAAAGGTGGTATCTAGGCTAGTTACCAGAATTCTGTCTCTGGGTTACATTCAGAACTTACAGTTCCATATGATAAAGCCCCTTATTATGGTAAATCTAACTTAGATAATCCCGAAAGAATTTTTATGAAACTGGAGATGTCTTTGCCAGTTGAAAGCGCCGGGGCTTCATAGTTGCCGAACCATGTGTAACTTGATAGGACAGTGCATCCTCGGGTTACCTGATGATGTCTATTAACCAGCTGACTGATATTTGGAGGGCGAGATGGACCAAGTGGTTAGAGCGCGAATTTACGGACCGGAATTTCCGTGGTTCGAACCCGACCTCTGCCTCTCAACTTCCCCTGTCTAGGCTTGGACAAACTGTTAGAATCACAGTCCTCGTGCAACCTTCGGGTGTCAGGGCAGCTAGGCACCGAAAGGGTGCTACAGCTGAACGATTTGGATAGTAAACAGCTGTTTTTGAGTGCTTGGTACTCATCCATCCATTCCTAGGTGGACATCTCCCTGAACGTTTTTGTCCTATCGCACAGTCCCACCAGAATGCTCTCTGGTTGAGTATGATATTGGCTGTTGTGATCAATTTACTTTATAGGCTGACAACACAAACGGTAGTTTCTCAAGTTTCTGTCTCTGATCTGGGTCCGTGATCTATGAGTTGAATATGGAGTACAGGGGGCGAGATGGCCCAAGTGGTTAGAGCGCGAATTTACGAACCGGAAGGTCCGTGGTTCGAACCCGACGTCTGCCTCTCGACTTCCCCTGTTTAGGCTTGGGAACCTGGCAGTACCCCAGCCTTCGTGCTTCCTTCAGGAGCTAGGGACCGAAATCCTTCAGGACTAGGGACCGAAAGGGTGCTACATCTGAACGATTTTTAAATTTTTTTACAGTTATCTTCTATGTATGAACACATACTTTGCCCGTAGCTATTAAGGTTTTCCTTCAGGATCGTGGTTCCACACTAGTGCTGAGAAGCATTTTTTCATCGGTTTTTATCCTGTAACTCGACTGTCCATCCTGCTGACGCGAATTTGTTTGAACGCCGAGAGTTATGCCCGGTTAGGTTACCTGGACTGGTCTTCAGCCATGAATGGACTGCTTCGCCTCAAGCCAGGATGCTCGGTTACTGAGCTCGTGTATCGTGCGCATGCGTCCACGCATGTGGCAAGATCAGATTGCCGGATGTGTGTTAGCCAGTTCGACACACTCCCGTCACCTGTACCCTACTACGTCAGAATACTGTGTTGGAATATATACCGGAATATTGGTGGCATCCATTGGTTGTTTTGATCAGGTGGCCTGTTCACTGAGCTTGGCAGTTCGATTCCAAACGTTTCTTCATCAGTCGAGGTGACACCATCGATGCGGTCATCTATTGTTTCCCAGTTTTGTGATATATAGGTATAATGTGTTCACGGAGCAAAAAGGCGACTTTATGTTTAGTCGATTTGCAAATGAGTGTACTTCTCGAAAACAGTCCCATTCGGGTTCAAGTAGAACATTAGGTTGACGGAAACTCGGGGAGTGCACCTACCTGATGAGCCCCAAGAAGGGCGAAACCGGTCGTGGGCTGTCGAAGAGTTTTCGGCAACCTTGTGAGAAGACGACTTGTGAAAAGAAGACTGCATGTTTAGTCAATTTGAAGTCTTGTCTGTTAGCCGAATCGTTTTTCAGGCCTGAGGTCGTATTATTTGGTCACTTCGAAGGTGGTCTCTGCGGTGACAAAGGTTGTCTCGACAAGCACACAGGACTGCTATGTTGCCAAGCCTCACATGTTACAATTATGGCAAACAACAGTGTTCGAGAAAAGGTAACCACGCGGCCCTCTGGACGGTGTGTCTAATCACCAGACTACAATTTGTACCTGTTTTTCTAGATCGGCCAGTATTTACTCGCGCTCCCAGAACATTTGGAACCTTACATGTCCGAGATTGGGACAGATGCTGAATCGGAACAGCATATTTCCGGTCGAGGGTTAGCAGAATGCTTGCACTTGGGTGATCCGGACGCGGCCTCCGTGGCTCTTATAGCCAACAAAACCCCTGGACCACAAGAGGAGACCGGTGACAGCAGCAAACTAACTCCCCGTCGTCGGCTGACCAGCCTTAGTGGTGGTCACAAATCACAGCAGGGAGAAAGATCGGTTGAAACATTCACAAGTGCAGCCTTTTGTTGGTTAGAGTCGTTTGTCTCCGGGGCCGTCTGCGAATCACTCCTGACGACGTGGCTTCGAATCGGAGGCAGTCCACAGAACAAAGAGCAATCCCAAAAGAAGAAAAAGAGGCCAATCAGCTCCAGTCACCGAACCAAGCCTGATCTAAGTGACAGTGAGAGCGAATTGGAGGATCACGTGAATCTGACAGAACATGGAGCAAAACAATTGACCGTGGACTTGGGTATGTTTGGCGACGAGGATTTCGGTTCGTTTTGAGTCGTTTCGATGGTAGCTGCAATTGGGTAATTCGTGTACCCAGTAGAAATTCATAGAGAAACTAGTGTGAATGAATGGTGCCCTGTGGTCATTTGGGTACCCTGTTTCGAGTAGCATTATTTCTTCACAGCTGCTGGATTAACTTCACTTATTTTAATGCGCTCTATTCTTATCTCGGCACACCAGAAAGTCTGTTCCATTTTTTGTTCGTTCTTAAATTTGCTTGTGCGCTTCACGCCCGTTGAACCATTCTGCAGGAGACTTGGTACTCTGGAAAGCATTACCCCGATCTTCTGCCACAGATGCAGTGTGTGAAATGCTTATGCGCTCGAGATGGTTCAACGTCTAACGCGCGAACCTACTGGCCCCATGCTTCGAACCCAGTCTCTGCATGTCGACTGTTCCTGTCTAGGCTTGGACAATCAGATAGTTTCTTGGGCCTTGTGATTTTCTCGCCTGGTAAGGCAGCTAGGCACCGAGTCATTCAATACCATACAACCAGTATTCAGTAAATTCGCGCTCTAACCACTTTACAGCTAGGCACCGAGTCATTCATTACCATACAACCAGTCTAGTTTCAGCGAATACTCAGTCAGTTTATGTGATGAGGACTCCTCAAAAAATAATTGCATTAAAAAAAAACTGAGAAAAAATCGTTCAGTTGTAGCACAATTTCGGTGCCTAACTACCATGACACCCGAAGGTTGCACGAGAGCTGGGTTACTGCCAGGTTGCCCAAGCCTAGACAGGGGAAGTCGAGAGGCAGAGGCCGGGTTCGAACCATGGGCTTTTATTCAGTAAATTCGCGCTCTAACCACTTTGCCCTTCTCGCACATAAACAGAGTACAATTTTGACTTGTTGTAACCAAATACGCGAACTAAATATGGTCATTTCCGTCCCATGTTAACCATCGCTCGTTTGTCTACAAATTAAAGTACATTTTTCCAAACATTGCTGGCCGCTGGAAATTTTCAAACAGCTTCGTCATCTCCCCGTTTTTTGTGTGTGCAGTCTGTTGAGTACGTGTTTGTTAGAATTGCTGCGATTGCGATGCATTTTAAATTTCTCCCCATAGATTTTCCGTTTCCTTCCGAACCAATTACTCAATAACTCGATTACTTGATAGGTCGATGGAAAGTCATGTTTATTGGTTGTTGATCAGGTGGCTGCCGATCTGTTCGCCGAGCTTGACAATTTGCTTGCAAACGTTTCGTCACCATACGAGGAGACGTCATCAGTGCGCAGTTGGGTGGGTACCACTTGCTTGCCTCCATGCGTTTATGTAACATTCAAAGGCTATCTGTTGTCTTCTGACGTGACTGGCTACTTGAAGTGTAGCGAATTTGGTGAATCTATTGGTCCGTTTGTGATCTGTGTTGCGTTGTGGTCTGCGTTCCTTTGATTTGATGGGTTATCCCAACGTCTTCTATTTTTGGTAGCTTGTTCTCTCTGGCCTTTGCGTAAGGCACTCGCCATGGTCACATAATTGAACACAGTCGAGCGATAGCTGTGAACGACGTTTCAGGCTGATCCGTTATTTCTCTGGAGAAATGGGTCCTGTTGGGCACCTGTTGTGTTACCCTTTACATACATCATTTTAGTGATACACGACTCTTATACATTACTGAAAAAACATTTTCTGACAGGGCTTTCAATTATTAGAGGGCTTTGTTTCGTTAACTGGCCATTTATAATCAGGTTGTGGTAAGACTTGTGGCAGACAGAGCCTCAACGTGTTCTACATTCACTGGTCTGCTTACCCTTTCATCTATCGACACTTTCCTCCCTTTGGGACTTTTTCCGGTGACCAGTACTCGCTTTCTCCTCTAAGGCAATCATGTGACCGCTTTATTCCGCTTCACGAATGCGGAATGGCCCCTTATTTCTCCATATTTCCTTCCTCCCTTCTTTTGCAACAAATGAGGATACTATCTTTGTTAGTTAGAGGTGCGTTTATGCAGTGTGACGTTTTTAAGCCTATGCTTCCCCATCCGTAGAGACTGTTTAGGCGTTCCGCACTCTAAAGTGTAAGTTTTCGGTCCTACATAAGCGGTTTTTCGCAATTCCGTTCCCTTGTGCCTTCAGATTACTTGCAGAACCTACTGGAGGACATGGGACTGTCTTTTCCTGGGAATCTACAGGCGCTTCGTGAACTTATCAATTGCTCCCCGAGTGAGTTCGCTGAACTGAGTGCCGATCGACCCCCGCGGATTGTCAGTGCTCTCGAAAGGCTCCGCGGTCTCTGATCAAGGACTCTATTGGGCACTTTATGAAGGCTGTGCTTCATCATGCTCGTTGTTATTTCTTGTTTTTTTCTACGTATTTGTTTCGCTTGAGGACCTTGGTTACAAGTGCCTTTTTCAAAGATTATCTTTTTCTCCAAAGTCCGCAAAGATCCATCACACTCGATGGAATGAGCGGCTTTGTGCTCATACGGAAATCTTGCTTATTTTGCCACGAATGAGTCGGATCCGAATGGCATGCTCATGGGCGCTCGTCAGTATCAGTAGACTGATCTACTGATTTTGTGTTTTGGTGAACAGCTTTGAAAGCTAAAGTTGCCCACTGTCAGGACGCGTTCATCCTTGGTCTAACTCTGTCCAAAAAGTACACAATTACTCAGCCGTTGGTCCTTGTAACCGCACTGAAAACCGGCCTACCCACTGGGGAGGTTAATTCTCCTTCCGTGTAAATGTTCTCCTGGGTATATCCCTAGCCCTGGTTTTACAGAACCAGGTTTTACAAACTTCTCGCTCTAGACTATTGTCGGATACCTACTTCTTGTCAGAGAACCTGTCTTTGAAACTCGCAAGTATATGAACATCCCCTCCGTACTGAGTAGGAATGAACTCGAGTAGATTGATGGAAAAACAACGTTCACGACAGGGTCTTAGTGCTATCGGTTACCGTTAGTGGCCTCCTTCAGACGGAATCGAGGAGTTCACCTACACCTTCCAGTTCGCAGTCAACTTTCAAGCAGTTTTGTTGGTCTAGTCGAGACACCCACATCTCTCGGTTGAAGCAGAAGTCAGCTTTTCATGCTGTTAGTTGCTGTTAGTTAGTCAACCAAACTATCACACGTCACTACAAACGACCCTCGTCACTCTCCCAGCTTCTCGTTCCGCCTCCATATTGGTCAGATCAAAACATACCATTCTGTGTAATCGTTCTTGTGTTCGGTCTTTACACACAAATAACATATATACATGGCCCAAGTGGTTAGAGCGCGAATTTACTGACCGGAAGGTCCGTGGTTCGAACCCGACCTCTGGCTCTTCCGTCTTCCCCTGTCTAGGCTTGGACAACCTGACGGTATCCCAGCCCTCTTACTCCCTTCGGATAGCATGACAGCTAGGCACCAAAAGGGTGCTACAGTTAAACGATATTATTATATTATATATGAATCGTATGAAAGTGGAGATCAAGCGATGAAATTTTGCCTGCGTAAACGTGTCGGACAAAGTTGGTCGTGTCGCCTGTTATTTAGAGGACTGATCGGAAGTCTGGCATGAGCGGATTAAAGGACTAAACTTGTGCCTCGCATAATTGTTGGTTGTGTTTTCTATTGAGCAGTCCGTCCTTTTGTCCTGGCGTAATTCCTCTGGTGAGTCCACACCAAAGGGTGTAATCACTGGACTTGACTTCTTAGCGCTCACCAGTGGTTCATATACAATGCCGGTACCGGGGTTTGAACTCCGCACATTGGACATGCAAAGCGATGGTGTTACCACTAGTCTACCAGCGCACGTTGGACTGGAACGTGTTTGAGCTATGTGATTGTTGTGCCGACTCATCATCGAACGATGACCATTATTCTTTAAATGTCATTGAGATATAGCGCACGTTGGACGCGAACGTGTTCAAGTTTGAGCGGTGTGATTGGTGTACCGACTCATTATCGAACGACGACCATTATTCTTTAAATGTCATTGAGATAGGGCGGAATTTGGAATGAATTAACGTGAATAGGTGAGTGTGGTCACAATTCAGAAATAAGAGCGTGGTCAGAAAGAGATCAAGCTTTGAAGATACAGCATTGTGATCGGACCAGTTTAAGCACGCTATTATCAACGTAAACAAGTATTGCCAAAACCTTCCTATTCTCTCGCAGTCGACGAGCTGTCAACTCTAATTTTCTTATTAAGGTTCGCTACTAATGGCATCAACAGTAGTACGTTCACTAAATAGATTAGTTCTCTCGCCTCTGGTCGGTTGTCCCAACTTGCGTAACTCGCGCACTTCCAAATGAGACCCACTCGTTATGGCTTCCCAAAGCAACTTATCAAGCAATTTTTACCCTTATCCCTGACTCAGTCGAAGGATAAACAGTTCACGTTACTGCCTTCCTCATCCTCAAGACCGCCGTCGGATTCGCAGTGCCTGCAGTGACCATTTTTTCCGTTGAAGAGCGGGAACATCGTAGACTCTGGCAGTTGGTTGTCGTCAAGTTTGCTCAAGTTGACAAGGGGAAACTGACAATTCTCGTGGGCTCGTTTGCCGAACAAAAATCTGATGCCACATTGCATATTCAGAAAAGTGCCCAGGTTTCATGCCTCCATACAGTGTACGAACTTTATTCTCCACCGTGTTCATCAGTATGCCCGATATTCCCATTCTAGTTCACGGCGAATGAGACGCCAATCGTAACTTCATTTTCTCGAATTCAGGGATGACAAACAGTCTCTTGTTGGTGATTCATGAGGACGGTCGTGTGCTCATGGCTGTTCAGAACCGCAATCTGATGCTATTTTCGAAACGAAGTAGCACACCCATTGATGACATAAACTGCCCAACTTCGGATGGCCGAGAATACAGACGTCTCGACGTGACGCGTCTGTCATGGCTTTTTGATGTTTCTCCTGCGAATATATGACGTTCATCTTGAGGTACTGGTGCATGGCCTCTACCATATTCACGCACTTTGCGACGTTCTGCTTGGCTGAGTTTAGTTTGATACATATATTAATATATGGAACAAAAGAATTCATCCCTCACACGAACAAAGTTTCGGCGAACCAAATGTTTCCAAACGTTTGACGTGATCATCCAGCAAAGCAAATGTTTCCAAACGTTTGACGTGATCATGGCAACGAAGAAAACGCCCGAAGAAAATTGATTGAGGAAGACGTTCCTGATAAGATGAACGCGATACTTTGAATGATGCTCAAAAGGAAAGCCACTTGATGCATTACTACTCATAAGGTTACTAAAAACTCTTCGGTAGCTCACAACCGGTGTTTCCCTTGTGGCTGGTCATGTAAACCCAGTCTGCGCGTTTCCGTCTATGTTCTAATTGAACCCGAATTGTACAATATTTGTGAAATACACTTATTTGAGCTCCAATTAACTCAACTGAACTCCAATTGAATCTCTACTTTATGATATCCTTCAACTGACTGTGCCACACAAATCCCGCCTGATGGGCCAGGGGGCACGATGTTCGAGATATCGCAATACATTTCCTTGAACAAACACTGTTCATAAACTTGTTAAATGTATGAAATCCGTGACGTGATTGGCAAACACTGACATGATCTGCGTTTAATCACTTCCAAGTCAAGGATACGATAGAATTGGGTCTCAGCTGGATTGTCGCTTCCGGATACCCCCCACATCACCGGTCGTTAGAAGTTTGTCAAACTTCAAGTTCAGACTCACCACATGCCTCCTCGTACGCATCGTCTATGTTTAGAGCAGGAGAACGTACAATATTTCTGAAGGACCCTGAAGCATGCCTTCGCTGTCATTAGATTCAGCCAATTCTATCGTTTATTCCGAAAAGCCAACCAAACCTTTATTGACAGCCCTCTTGGTTTGCTTCAAATCAACTGAATTTGCAGTTTGTTGCTTTACGGGCCACATCGATATTTCGAGACGTATATTTCATTCAGTTAGATTCTCCGCATTTTTACTTTTCTGTCTTTTCAACCGGCTTCGACTCAGCATCGGATCATGTCCACTGTCTGCCTAATCCATCCACCAACGATCAACCAGGTCTTGTCCTCTGTAAGTTCATGAGCAAGGGGTTTACGCATGACCCGCACGTTTTACTTGGGCCGACGGATTACGAATTTCGGTCTTGCGGTGGGCTCAGGTTACGACCACTTGTGGGTTTGACCTTTTCCTATTCCACATTGAGATACAAGACGTCGATAGTGAGTTGAGACAATAAACGTATAGGCCTCCAGAATAGCGAGCATCCAGAATTTGTTTGGGCGCAGCTGACTCCAGGTTACAGGCTAATTCATCTCAACAAAAAGAAGTGAAGCATGCCTGCCCCGGATACACAACTACTTTTCTGACATAGTACTTGATTGTGGCTAGTAGTCATTTGCAGCTTGAACTACTCCCCTTTCCTCCACACACCTTATATGAATTCAGAATAGTTGGTTGCAAAATTGATTCGGTTATGTGACTGGACGTGACATGATCGATTATGCCTCTGGGTAGCTCTTTATGACCGACTTTTGGGGAGTATGAGTTCTGCTACAGAGTGAGTGAATTTTTGGAGAAGCGCATGGGACTGCACCGGGAATGTGGTGAGGAAAAATGAAGCCAAAATTACAGATCCACTTGAGTAGGTTGTCGCCTTCTAAGGTCGTTCAAACTCATGGTCTTTTGCAAAACAGACAAGGAGTAAGAGAGATAGTCGCTGATCATCATCGACAGCATGACGTCAGCGTTAAACATGGATGTTTCGCTGTTGTACGTTGATCGCTCAAATGTCGGGATAGCATGTAACTTGTGTTAAGTATCTACAAGCGACTTGAATGTCTTGACTTGGTCCAACAAATGGCTCATCGCACAGCAATGAGTCTTTTTCAATACAGGCCTGAACAGAGCTCAGATGGCTATTTTTAACTTGCCCATGTTGGCCACACGAAGCTGGGTAACCCACCCCACACTGGTACAATGATTTAACCAGAAGTGACTGGATTGCAACGCGTAATCTGAATTTTGTTATATATTAGGAGAACGTAACCGGATTACGTAATAGTAGCCAATGGACTATCCGTTTTCATCGGGGTAGATTTAATTGATGGCTTTCCAACTGTCCTTAACAGGTAAGTTCTATTTTTAGTATCCTTGGCCCGCCTAAAACTTTCCACCTGAGTTTCATAAGCAGTCCATTTTCGGTTGCACAGGACTCGCCTCTACGCGTCAGTGTTAAGCTGAATCGCTCGTTTATTGGCCCTCTGGTTTAGCTGAGTGCATCTGACTAGCAACCCAGACTCGGGTTCACGATATTAGGATGGCATTAAGAAAACTGTGGTCCACAACGGTATACATCATATCAAAGTGCATCATTTCGCTTCCAGTCCTGGAAGACGAGTTTCGGATGTGGGTATCATCCACAGCAGTCGAAACAAACTCGAGCTCAAAGATTCCAATTTCTCTGACGTACTTCAATTTTGAACTTGTTAACAATGGCTACCGGTTAGAGTGTAGAGTATGCTGTAAGATTCCACTGCGCGCGCGCGATTGTTTCGAGCTTCTCAGCAATGAATCAACGAAGCCTATCACTCAGAATTATTCAAAGAACCCAGGATCTATGAGGGTTTAGCTCTTTCGCCAGACTGGACAAACCTGCCATTCGGTAAATCTAATATGGAAAAAGAAAGA